GGCATATCAATGGCAGCCGATTTCTACCAATCACAGCCCAAATTCCGGCGTATGAAGTGCTTTTTCGTCTAAAATGAGGTATTCTTTCCTTTGATTGGATTACTACGTAGCATTAATCTTGGATGAATTGATATGAATTAAATTTTCCCCAAATTGTTAGGGTTCTTTATTCTTTCCCCAAATTGCTATGCTTTATATAAAGGATATATATATAGAGAGGATTCTGCGTTTTTTTACTCCACAGCTTCTCATTCGAATACATATTCCTCTCAAAATTATAGTCCTATATACTCTTAGTTTTATTTTATTTTTCCCATGGCAAAAACTATTCATCCATTGTCGAAGATCAACCCTTCGAGTGAATGCTGGAGGGTTATGGTTCGTGTGGTGAGACTCTATACGTTACCCACGTTTGGTGATGAGAGAACAACAAACTCGATTGAGATGGTCTTCATGGATGAACATGTAAGTCCTTCTATAACCTCAAAAGTAAAACAAAAAAAGTTCATTGAATTCATAGACAATTGGACAAATAAACTCTAAACTTTTCACTTTGCCTATGTTTTTTTACTAAAAACATTTGAAATTTATTGATACCGATAACACAAAAGTAAAGAAAAAAAGGATAATATATGAATTCATAAACCCAGGCGCTGATCAGACTTTGTTGTAAATAATTATTCTCCTGCCTTTAGTGACCTTCAAACTTGGCCATTTGAATATTATATTTCATTTCCATATTATAATTCATGTTTTAAACTTGACCATATGCATATTATATTCTTGATTGAATAAGTCATTCCATTTGCATATTAGATTCAACTTGGCCATTTGCATAACTCAATTTTTTTCACTGCTCAGATTTGACTTTTTTTCCCTTATATATCAAATATATCAAACTTGGCCATTTGCACTTGGCCATTTTCTTATTATAATGCATTTTTTTTTAACTCTAGGCATTTATCTTATTAATCAGATCAAATACCACTTTCATAAATTAAATACAATTGATCACCGGAGTTGGCCATTTGCATATTATATTTCAATAAAGGGCATTGATTTTTTGTTGGACAGATTAACATGGCTTCAATATACTGTGCATAAATAAATACCCTATACTCTCTATAATCAGATTGTAAGCACTCCTTTTTTAGCTTTTTTTATACCAACGGGTGCTGATTTTTTATTGATGACATGTAGGGAAGTACAATTCATGCAACGGTTCGAAGAAGTTTGGTTGGAACATTTGGGAATC